CATTTCCAATGGTGTGTCAGGGCTGAAGGCAGATATTTCTTGGTGACCCAGATCCGGTGTTGAAGGCACTGGGGGTTGAGGTGGGGTTGGGATGGAGCAGCTCATGGCGGGAGACGATTGTCGCGATATATCAACGAGTTTTGGCTTGGTTTTGCTAGCGACCGCAAACATCTAGGACAGTGTAAGTAGATATTAGGTCAACAATCTTCGAGAATTCCTACCACTGGTTCATCCGCAGGAGCCTTCATCTCGCGTTTACGTTCAGGTGGCGGAGGGCTCTGTTGGACTATTTGGATTCTTCTTCTGTTGTTTTCCTTTGATTTTTCTCCCGTAGTCTCTAATTCCAGGGGTGCCCTTTGGAGCCAATCCTCACAGTACGAAAAGTTACTTGGGACCCAGCTTCCTTCTTCACTCGATACTGTTCCTGACCTGCTCCGCTGTGTTTCTAAGGAAGATCCGGATAACGTTCTCCTCTCGAACGCATCTACATCCGAAGAGAGAGCTGGCGAAGACATGTGTGGACAATCAGTAGATACCGGAGACCATTTTTCGTTGTGGGAGCTATATTGTTTCATCAGATTGGAATGTGCCATGTGCACATTCGTCGTGTCCCCTGCTCTTTTCGGAGTCGCCTCGTTTCCATGGGTGCTATAAACCTCACTCGAAATTGTTGTTGGCGTATAAACGCTACTCTTCGGGGTCCCATGGTCAGTGTCCAGGTCTGAGTCCGGTTTGGGGGAAAAATATGCAGAAGATGGCGACGGCTGTGACTCCCTCGAGTCTGATAGAGGGGGGCTTGGAAGGAGTCCAAATGCTGCCATGTTTGTCGTCGTGATGTTCTGATCTGATCGACAAGTCCGCAGCATTGGGTTTCCGGATCGAGTTTGCGATAGCCTGGACTCTCTAGCAGCAGACTGAATGCTCTCCACCGATGGAGATGATGGTAAGCGCAGCTGGAAAGGTTGCTTCATCCTGCGCACGGACCGGAACGGCGAGGCAGGGGTGGCAGATAGGCGCTCTGTTGGTCGTTTGTGTTGCGCTGTGTACTCGCTTTGCTCCGGGAGAGGAGACGTCGAAGGGATGAATGAGAGAGAACTCTGCGTTTGTTGTCTCCTCCAGGGCTGAAATGTTGGCGAATAGCGAGGGTATGCTATATCGTTTCCTTGGTCTGTGGGATATTCATCTGTTACGTAGTACGAGGGGGTGTTCCTGTTCGCGTATGTGGGAATGTTATTTGTGGAAGCAGAATATTGGTGATGGTAGAATCTTGGGTTGACATCCATATTTGCGAGCGTGCAGTCCATAGTGGACATGCCAGGCGAGGAATGTAGAGTAAATAACACGACAGGGACGAATCTTCAAAAGATGATTTGGATACCCAAAATAGAGCGAAGCAACAACAGTTTGATCCACAGAGGCGGCCAACAAGACCTTATACTAGCAAACAAAGCTGCACTCAGTCATCCCTTGTCTACCTGGCGGTCACAGAATACTAGATGTAGGGCATGCGCCTTTGGCCCCTTCCAGAGGGTCACCAAACACCCTGGAACATGAGAGAACTGTAAAGGGTCGCTATGCCTACGGTCCTTGCATTCCGGAGAGAGGTGAGATCGAACAGCCGCGATGACTATTGGCTCTAAGCCTCGATATGCGCCACCTGCAGGAGCGTCACAACGTGGAGGATCCGCTCTTCAGGACCATTGCCGTTCGTCATTACGGAATGGATTGAGACAAGCCGCCGCAGGGACACAGTGAAAGCTCTGAAAGCGACCCGCAAAGGACGCCACGAACCGATCTTCAGCAGGACTGTTGCACCGGGCAATCAAAGTCGGAGCCCCTTGAATGACCCCCTTGCTTCAATTGTTGTGAGCGCGGTGATCTGCTCCATTATTGGAGGTGGCCGCAATAACCAGCATGTGCAAAGCCTCCAATGGTCTGGAATTGCGGAGATCTGGACTGTCAATATTAAGATGCCACAAATGCCATCCGGGGGCGCGCGATGCTTGCTTAAAATATGGGCTTCTTGCTACGAGTCGCCTCAACTCCCAGTCTGTTGTCACGAGGGTCATGTTTCATGTTAGCGAAGGAATAGACTTCTTATACCAGGGATCAAAGGAGGTCTCCTAGAAGGGAGACCAGGGATTCCAAAAGGAACCATGGCGCAATGTGATTTTCCCAACAGTCCATAAAAATCGCTGGGAAAAGTACTCCGACAGGAGAGGATAGTAACTCGATAGTCCATCTCCCTTTTGGGGCGATCAATCACCTCCGAGACAAACAGTGCAAACTTCACCTTTATCGCTGCTTTTATCGCCGATCCCAAGAGAAAAAAAAATGTAGAGCGGGAAAAAGAGCAGGAACATTGCCAGTTTCGCCACCCCTTTTGACTCGAATAATTTTTCTTTGCCCTTCGACAGCTTTCCTCATGCTATCGGAGTGCTTTATCGCGGCTACCCTGACGTCGGGCAAAGCCCCGGCGTCAGCGAGTCTCCGCGATGTAGGGATCTGCGTTCATGAGTTTCAGCCGTCACCCAACCTACGCTCCACCTTCAAGAAGAGCTCGACTCCGGCCAATTGTCTGGCCGTGAGCCCATCACATGTGTACGCAGCTCAGGCGGAGAAAGCCATTGTCCACGTATACAGCAGGGAGAAAGGGAATCAAGAGGCCGTTATTCCCTTCCCGGAGCGCATTCGCAGCATTGCGATTGCGGGGAGCAAGAATGGCGACGTCTTGGTCTTGGGTACCGAAGGGGGCCGTCTGATCTTATGGGAAGTGAGTTTAACTTAAATCTACTGCGTCACTATGCGGGGGAAGAAGCGATTGGTCGAGCAAATCTAACATGAGCTCTATTAATAGACTTGCACTGGACGTCAAGTTGCGACAACAGCATCCCATCTGAGCCCAGTGACCACCCTAGTCGTTGACCCCAGTGACAATTTCATTCTATCCGGCTCCTCCGATGCCAGTATCCATGTCTGGTCTTTAGTCGACATCCTTTCTTTCACAAAGCTCCCATCCGGCCGGGATCGGCAACCACCAAACTCCCCCATCCGTACATTCTCGAACCACCGCGCTGGTATCTCGTCACTTGCCGTGGGACACAGCTCCGGAAGATACAACATCGCCGTTTCGACAGCGCAGGATAACACAGCCATCGCTTGGGACTATCGCACCGGACGCGTCCTGCGGACGTTCCTCTTGCCTTCCAGCGCAGTCTCCCTAGCTCTTGATCCAGTTGACCGCGCATTCTACGTCGGCTATGAAGATGGCAGCATTCAATCAGTGGACTTATACAAATCCCAATCCTTCCAACATCCTCTCCACGACCCATCGTTACAGTCTACCCCCGCCCAGCCCTCCGCGGAAGAGAAATGGTCCCCGCCGTCCGCCGACTGCGGCGCCGCGCAGTCCCTCTCACTCTCCTACGATGGAATGACCTTGTTATCGGGCCACCAGAACGGAAAAGTACTCTCATGGAATGTCGGCAGAAAGAAATACGCCACGACCGTAGCAGACTACACACATCCCGTGACGAACCTTCATATGCTCCCATTGGCTGGCCTCCCCAACCCCGGCCAGGATCTGAAAAGGGTAGCACACACAATCGTCAAACCCCGATACGACAGTAGCCTGTCGGAATCATCTCAAGCTGCAGGCGCCGTACCTGCCGACTACACCTTCAGCACCCACCTCCTCAACTCAACATCATTCAAGCCCGCCACAGCAAGGAACCTCGATGGCTCCGAGCGAACAAACCAGTTCACAGAAGCTTTCACTCAAGCTGTCTTCCCCGACTCAATGATCGAAGAAGGTCTCGCTGAGCTAGCTGCCTTTAACCAACCGGGAGGCAGCACCGCCCAAGGCTCGCCCATGATGACACAAGCCACAAATTATGAGGACCTCGCAGCAAAGGACTCACAGATAGCAAACCTAGAAAGCGAACTTGCAGCCCTCAAAAAGAAAACAACAGCCAATGAGGCCGCCCGTCAACTCACTACAGACGAGGTAACAAAGCTTCGCTCCGACCTCGCCAATCTAAACGACTACATTAACGAACTCTACCAAAAACAAGACCAAGCACAGAGAGAAAAGGTCATCCGACAAGCCCGGAAAGAAGAACGCGAGACCCGTAAACGGGAGGCTTGGTTTGCGGCTGAGAAGAAGGGAAAGAAAGGCGACGCCATCGTCCGAAGGATGGAAGCCGAGGAAGCTATGCAGACCAGTGACTCGGATGATCAGAGCAGTGATGAGTGATTGTTTTTACTCTTTACTGTTATCTGTCGTTTTACAATCTTCTTCCTGTCATAATTCTTTTCCATAAACTGTGCACGGCCCTGTCATGTCTAATTTATCTTGATTTACGAAGGCGCTTGGTTCAAAAGTTAAGGTTCAACTTCATAGATGGTGAGAGGCTCGTTAGGTTATACTTTGTTTGTACGCATTGTATATAGGAATGACTGACGCCACAGTTGCTATACCGTGGCGCTTATTCTACCTTCTATTGTTTCCTCGCAATGAAGTGACTAATAAATGGACAACCCAACAACGGAATGCTTTGAAATGAAATGTGGTGCCTTTGATTTAGTGCAACGTATGGTGGAAATTAATCAATTTCCCAGACGCCCATTCCAGAAGCATCGCCAAAGATAAAAGAATAAACTGCGACGCGACAGAATTCCAGATGATGTCAGATCATCATTCCACCAATGAAGGAGAAGGACAAAATACCAATACATACTAGATAAGTCAATTAATACGCTGGAGCAGTGCAAATTCTTTGCGTGACAGGAGTGACAAGTCGCATTCTTGAGCGTTTGATCGTCGGTCAATGACATGATGGCATATTTGGTGACGGCAAGTAATAAAAAGATAACGATTACCACTGTTGGCCAAGACAGTCTTGCACATCCGCTCCGGACGGCACCATAGCAGAGCAAACGAATATATCAAGGAAGAGAGGATGCAGCATAAACCTCACCTGGAATGTGCCAATACAACTCTACTCGTAGCTCGTCGAAGAACGAAAGCTGCTCGATCTATACAATGGTCTCGGCCGATGGGTACCTTCCACTAAGCCCCGGAGACTCGTCAGGCCCAGCCAAACGGCCTCCTCGGTGCGGATGGTTCTGCTCCCTTGGCCAGGAAGAAGGTTGACCCAGTAATCGAAAAGCTTCCCAGCTTCGGTCGGGCGAATTTCCATGTCGCATAGTTGAGGGTCATTGTGAATTGCCGCTTCGATCCCTGCTACACCACCGAACACAACAAGGAGGTGCTTGTAGTCCGGGGGGATTTTCCGCCGGTCATAATTATCATGCTCTTGTCGTTCTTCCTCTAGAACCGAATAGACTGGGGCGCCTCGCTCAGAAGTTCCAAAGGAGAGGTCGTAACCACCGTCGAATGGGCATTCAGTGAATACAGACGACAAAGATCGGCAGCGACGCACATAGTAGCCCCAATAGTACCCAGCTTCAGAGCGAGGAGTAGAAGGATGTACGGGCTGCGCATAGTGCTCGTGACCCTGCTCGGAGAACCGGACGGTTACACGGGCATATTCAGGCAGCTGGATGTCCGGGAGGACGACCTTTTTAGGAAGACCGGTATCGACCACGGTAGCACTAAAATTAGTAGAGCTACTGGATGAATAACGACGGTTATGGTGATAGTTGCTCATCTGTGTACTATGCCTCCTCTGCCCCTCACCATCGGAACTCGATATCACAATTCCTTCACGGTAGTCACACCATTCGTTGGCACGAAGATGGTGCGGCATATCGAGACTGGGCAGTAAGCCAGCTCCGCGAAGATTCGGGTGCATCGGAAAGAGATGTTTACGAAGATATGGTGGGGTCTCGAGGTATGAAAGTATATGCGCCAGGAAATGCGATGGGTCCGAGTATCCGGTATACCGTTTAGCGGAGGAGTCATTGCCGTTGAGCTCGTCACTCGTTTTGTCTATAGGGGACTCGTAATAATCTCCCTGGCCGTGGTACTCATCGCGCGGACTATTCTCATCATCATCAAACACCACTACCTCATCAACACAAAAGACGGCGAGAGCACGTGCGATGATACCAGCCAAAATAGTCTTTTGCTCCACAGAATGAGAACTTTTAAGAGCCTCGTTAGTATCACTTTTCTATTGTCGTGTCGTCCCAGTGAAACAGGAACGAAACTAGTCACGCGACACGGTCTATACATACTTGGCCACAATGCTGCCTGGGATAGCGACAGTCAATGTATGCGATCGGCCACCAGTTGGGGTAAAAACAGCGGTAGGCTTCGAGGTAAAAATATTCCTTGAATGGCCATTATAATCGGTTTGGTCGTGATAATGAGAGGTCTTGCGTTTCTGTCAAGACCAATTGAGTCAGTACTTGGCTGTAAGGGATGTGGAGAAGTCAGAAGTATATATATACCTTGGGAACGCCGGGACGTCGCATCGTGGGCCGCGGGTGAGGGGATGAAGGGGGTCTTGGAGCAGAGAACGAGGGGAGCATGGGATAAGAATCGGTGTTTTGCATTGGATCGCAAATATTTCGCACAAAATCCCTTTGACTAATCGACAGGTTTGTTATTATGGACACCGAGATGGTTTGACCGATGAGGATGGTTGCTGATGACGTCGGTCTCCACCGCCTTATGGAACCTTTGGCGCCTGCCGCACTTTAATTTGTCTACACTTTCACCATCCAGAAAGGGAGGTCGACAGGTTCAGGTACCACTACCAATCAGTTTCCGATTCACTTTGGATCATCAGGAACATGCCAGATTTGGTGACAGGCCACTATCATAATGCCTGCGCATCACCCTAATATACACCCTGCTGCGCTCCTTGCTCACCAACTGCCTCTCCTTTCAATTCCTGCATGATTTTCACCCCGGAACTAGTGCCAATCCGCTCAGCTCCTGTTTTCAGCATACGAATACAGTCCTCCGCTGATCGCACTCCTCCGCTAGCCTTAACCTTGCATCCATTGCCTACCGAACCCGCAGTGGCTCGCATGAGGGCCACGTTGTCAATGTTGGCACCAGATCCATTGAATCCCGTGCTGGTCTTGATAAAATCAGCACCAGCCACATCCGCAATGACAGACCCCGCAATAATCTCCTCGCGTGTGAGCTGCGAAGTCTCCAGGATGACCTTCAGTCTAATCGGCGACGGGGCTGCCTTTCGCACACCCAGTATATCTGTGTAGACATCCGTATACTTTCCTTCCTTCAGCAGAGGATACTTGAGAACCATATCCAGCTCGGCGGCTCCCTGCTCAACTGCATCCCGGGCTTCCTGCTCTTTCTCCGAGGTTTCATACATGCCCTCATGGAATCCCACAACGCAAGCCACCTTCACATCGGAACTTCCCTTGAGTTCCTGTACCGCGCGACGGACATGGTTCAGGCGGACGCAGACAGTCGCAAACTGGTACTGAAGCGCTTCGGCGCACAGCTGGTCGATCTGCTGTTCTGTCGCAGCCAACGCCAGCTGGGTGTGATCGATCGTACGATTAACTTCAGATGGTAATGGTGTCTGGTATTCCGGGAAAGTCTCCGGAAGTGAGACTTTGATAGTAGAAATCAGAGCAGCCCACTCTCCGTCGTCCTTCGGGATAGACATCTTGCTGTAAGGGAAACTGTCACAGGTTAGGTAGATGCGTGCTGTCAAATATTATCGCGAGCTCAACCAACTCTAAGACTTAGACTCTATTTCAGACGTTTAAGTAGTTTAAGGGCACGTTTGGATTTGTCGTGAATTTCTGGGGATAGCGAATTTCTCTCTCGTAAATGCGGAGAAATATCGTCACGTGATGATATCACAATGAGCATCACATGGAGAACAGTTACAATTTACCGCATCGTATGCCCACGAAGGCCATTACAAAAGGGTTGTTTCTGGATTTCGATCGGGAATACTACCAATATAAGGTGCTCGTCCTATCGATAATAAAGCAAAAGATATAGAAACCGGTATCATAATAATCCAACCCAACACCACGACTCATTGTGCCATGCGCAACACTCTTTAATTAACCTTCAAAACACCAAAATCCCACTGATTGAACTCAGCGGCAACTTTTGCACTCTGGCCCCCGAATATCGTCCACACGCCCGATCTTCCTGGGTCCAAATCCACCGGGTCCGCCACCGCCGCCGCCTCCGGAGCCGGATCCACCACTGCCTCCCCAGCGAGCTCTAGTATTCGGGTGATTTTGGGAACGGTTGATATTGAATCGCGAGTTCTGCGCAGCCGTGTACGGGTCAAACTGTGGTCCGTGTCAGTATGATATGGACAAGTATGATGGTGGTAAAGTAAGACAGGGCCGCTGGACAGCGCGGGAAATGATGGGATATTTTGGTGGCAGAAGAATATAATCCATGACGTACCGAGAAAAGGCTCACGAAATAGAGGCCCAGGAAGAGATAAATGTTTTCGATAAAGCGGTTGATGCGAACCCAGAGGGGCGGGCTGAGATAAGGCACAGTCCGTCAGTGAGTTGTCCATCAAAAGCGTTAGGTGGCTCTTTCTTTACCTTCCAAGAACCTGTCCATTGGACAGATAGGTTTGAGGTTTCGACGACATGATACAGTAGTGACCAGACGGTGTTGGTTCTGTTAATGACGGTAAAAGCGCGGTGGTAAGTGGCATTCATGAGATGGGGATTGGCGTGCTTTATCTTAGCGCCGGAACTCGTGATTCGAGTTCCACTTTAAGGCAGCGGTTTCCATATCGGGTAAATTGACTAGTGACTGGAGTGTCCCGTCAAAGCCAGGCAGAGACAACAGTCCTACCTAGACATATTAAACTCAGCATCTGGCATTTATGTTTCCTGCGAACATACTACTACGCAGACTGAGAAGTTATCTGGATACCTAGTGATATTTTACCGTTAGTTATTTTAAATTAAGGAGAAATGAAATATATACATAGGGAAATTATCGATAATAACCAGCAACGTTCCTCTTGAAATCTAGTACATATGGGTATCTCTATATACAACTCCAGAGCTCCAGTGCCTCCGCAACATCATCAGCCATAAAGCGTCATTAGAAACGTAGCCTTTTTTAATCATGTTTCTGGTCGTTCTCCGGGACTATTTCATTCCGTAGGTCGTCCAAACCACGGAACCCTTCTTCAACAGTCCACTTCTCGTCCTTGCGAGGATGTAAAATGTGGCAGCTGGCCCCAACAACTAATAATCCAGGTGGCCGTGAGCCTCGGCTTCAAATGCGAGGCACACATTTTCGAGAGTAGAACGGATCACTCGCTGATCAGTGCAGGAAGCCCGCTCAATAATCGCACACGGAGTATCCTTGGCCAAGGGGTTCGTGGGCGCGGACCTTCCTGGGGTAGCGTAGTCAACGACTCCACTAGCGCCGATAGTCGGTGTAATGCCATCAAAAAGACGACTGTTTGAGTGGGAACGTAGGTAGGAGGCTCGGGAGCTGCACCCTTTCTTCCCGTACCAGTGCAAATCAGGACCTGGTCGGACACGCCCCGATGAGTTGCAGGTATCTCTGCGAACAAAGAAGCGCTCAGAGCGCTAGTAATTCCGGGCAAGACAATTGGAGTATACCCTTCACCTCGGAAGAATTCAAACTCCTCGCCTCCTCTTCCGTACAAATAAGGGTCTCCCTGCTTTAGCCGAAGGACATACCGTCCCCGACGCAGTGAATCCAGCCCCATTTGCAAGAATTCCTCTTGTGCCTGATCCGCGTTCCCAGGGAACTTCCGCGCAATATGAACTTCTGTTCTCCGCGGAATTAATTTCAGGACAGGTTCTGGAACCAGTTTATCTGCGAGGATAATGTCTGCATTCTGAATCGCATTGTAGGTTGCTCGCGTGAGCATGTCTGGGTGTCCAGGGCCCGAACCCGCCAAAACAATTTTCCCTTTCTTTTGTAGGTGGCCCACCCCATTGGTGCTATCCAGGTTATTTTTACCAGACGAGTATGCTTGAAGAATGGCATCGATGTCAGCATCACTGATAGCAGCGAGCTTTTGAAGAGGCCAGTATTCGCATATCTGGGAGAGCCAGCGGATCCGCCGTGTCTTTGCCGCAGAGACGTCATCCTCTGTCACTAACTTGTTGAACGTATGGCTTTGACCGGTGAAATCATCCTCGTCTCCTTCGAGGGATGCAGTGCACAGACCTGCTGCATGGTCCTCCGCCCAGAGGCGCCTTCTTACGGCCCCCAATCTGTCTATTGCAGCTCCAAGATTGGAGGGGAGGGAAGAAGATATTTCTCTTCTTAAACGAGATGCAAGCTTGCAACCACGCCCCGAGGTCGTAATCCCAATATGAAGAGGGCCATCTGAGTACGTAGAAAGTAAACTAAAAGTACATAGTTCTGGGGCATCAGAAACATTGACAGGAATTCTAAGCCGCCGACAAAGCTTCGAGATATGTGCACCTATCAATTAATTAGACCGTATTCTTCGGTAGCTTGTAAGATCAGCACATACTCAACGGGTGATTTCCACCAAGGGTGATAAAAACCGTGTCAACGACATGGTCGACCTCTTCTCTGCCCAGAGTCTTCAGATCATCATCTTGGAATTCTCTGCGTACCCATTGTACGGAACCATTCTCAATGTGCTCGGACAAGCTGAAATGCAAGTCTCCAGTGTCTGGCGCAATGATGACCGGCTTTGCGCCGGCTTCCAGGGATTTCGCACAACGGGCTGCAGCAAGAGGATTTCCACCGACAATCAGATGGACCTGAGATTCAGCATAGACCGCCGTCAGCAACGGTGCTGGTGATCCGTTATCGCACGATGCGTCTTTCATTGTGCCAAGTTGCCACCGCAGGTGAACCCCGCTGTTCCGAATGGCTTTTCTTAATATTCTAACGAGATAATTGTGAAGATGTGGGAGGACAGAATCAGCGGAAGTTGAGTGATTTTTATTCCTTTACCCCACAATCACCGAAATGGCAGAGGGGTCCCCAGTCAATATGATTGCTTGCGGGCACAAATGTCCGCGGAAATAGGCTCAACGCAACCGAATGAGAGGCGAATTGAAGATAAGGATTGAGTTTCTCCTGACAATCGCAGTTGCGCAGTCTGATAAGCCTATCTAGGCGATTGATAAAGCAAATCCCATGCAACCAAGGTATTTATCAGTCATCTGAAATTGTGACTCTTTCTTTTATATACATTTCTCTGTAGTTCCCAATGCGGTTAAAGCGATATTGCGTGATCGTGCATTTCGTTGCTTATCTAAGCCCCGCACATGGTCATCGTGAATCAGCCTGAAGCTCATTAGCCGCATCGCAATGAGGATGTTTACTCAGTTTGACTGCCTCCTTTTGCGATGTTTCTCACCGATCAAGCTCGTGTGGTCGCTGCAAGACAACCGAAAATGCAGCATGGTGGTTCTCTGACGATCAGCATATTAGAACACTGGAAGGATCCAACAGGAAATCCTAGAACTTCAATCAAAATAAGACTGGGGTTGACATAGAACACCCATGATGCCCATCTGGGGAGGAAAATGCCAATAGAAAGTAAACATGGAAGGCCAGGAACTTGACGAAGCCTCCTTTGTACTTCCCCTGATGTTGACCAGGCTGATGCCTTAGTCACCCAACTATAGTCAATATCACGTGATGTAGAGCTTCGGGCAGCTTGACTGGCAAGTAGACGTCAAGCTCCATGTTCGTTCCCATCCTCAGCCCGTCACTACGCTATCAGTTGCATCTTCTCACCATCTACCTCCCATCCCTCGGTTTCGGAACACTTAACTCTTCCGTCTTGATACCCTCTATCATAAACTCCGAAATCGTCAAACTTCGTCATAACATCCGTCATCATGGCTGACGGACTATTGAAGGCGGAGAAGGACTTCTCCAAGGATGCTGACAAGCTAATTCCCGAGGCCGAGGAGATCGCCAAGGTTTGGATTTGCTTGATATGGCTATACTGGAGTGTGATGCTGATATGACTGGTAGACCGACGCTCAACGCGCTATTGACAGCCTGCTCGGACTGGAGAAACAAGCAAGACAGGTATGACATATGACAGCCCCTGCTTGATGTTCTGCCATGCTGACAGAGTTCTAACTCAGGCCTCTGATCTCCCAACTACATCCCGTCTTCTCGTCGCTATCGTAACGCTCAGCAAAAACTCCGGCGACTGGAGCCTTCTCAACGACCAAGTCCTTCTTCTCTCCAAGAAGCATGGCCAACTTAAACAAGCCATTACAAAGATGGTGCAAGTGGTAATGGGATTCCTGGATGAGACACCCAACGTGGATGTGAAGTTGTCTGTCATCCAGACCCTCCGGACTGTGACTGAGGGAAAGGTGGGTACCTCGACAGCCTCTGTCTTGTCCAACTTATGGCTAATACACTGCACAGATCTTTGTCGAAGTCGAAAGAGCCCGCGTCACCCGCATTCTGTCGAATATTAAGAAATCCCAAGGCGATCTCAATGCCGCCGCTGACACCCTCTGCGAACTGCAAGTTGAGACATTCGGATCCATGACCAGAAGAGAGAAGACCGAATTTATCCTGGAACAAGTGGCCCTTTGCATAGAGCGTGGCGACTGGACACAAGCAACTATCCTGAGCCGCAAGATCAATAAGCGTTACTTCAACCGCAAGCCGAAGAAGAGCCCCGAGGAGATCGCGAAGCTCAAGAAGGAAGCCGAGGAGAGGGAGAAGACCCGTGCTCCGGATGAGCCCCCGATGGAAGTTGATGACGATGTAACGGATCTGAAGCTCCGCTACTATGAACAACAAATCATCCTTTCAAACCACGATTACAAGTACCTGGATGTCTGTAAACATTATCGGGAAGTGCTGGATACGGAGTCGGTAGAGAACAACCCAGAGCAGCTGCGAGCAGTAAGTACTCCTGTTTGGCATGATATTGCTTATCTTAAGCTAATGACCACGTAGGTTCTGGCCCGGATTATCTACTACATCATCCTGTCTCCATATGACAACGAACAGTCAGATCTGTTGCACCGTATCCAATCGGACTCTCGAATTTCCATGGTCCCCGTGGAGAACCGGCTTCTGAAGTTTTTCACCATCAGCGAATTGATGCGCTGGCCGGCCATTGGACAGCAATTCGGCCCCCATTTGTGCAATACCGATGTCTTCAGCCCGCAGGCCAGCCAGTCTGCAGACGACCAATCATTCAAGAGGTGGCAAGATCTTCGGAAGCGGGTTATTGAACACAATGTCCGCGTCGTGGCCAAATATTACACGCGGATCCAGATGGGCCGGTTGACCCAGCTTTTGGACTTGACTGAGGAAGAGACGGAGAAGTATATCAGTGAACTGGTCACATCGAAGACAATCTATGCGAAGATCGACCGTCCCGCGCGGCTGATCAACTTCGCCAAGCCGCGCGATGCTGATGACGTGTTGAACGAATGGAGTAGCGACATGAAGAGCCTCTTGGGGCTCTTGGAGCGCATTGATCACTTAATTACCAAGGAAGAGATGATGGCCCGTATCCTCCCCACTCGGGAGAAGGGCAAGGCCCGTTAAGCGGGTTGGTTTAGAAAGTGGTCAGCGATTATGCAATGGCGCTGGTTTCACGGCGTGTAAAATTACGAGACACTATCTAGAAATGGATTAATGCTTTTGCATGCTATATACATGATGCTGCGCCGGCTATTGCCCATTTCCCCAAGTTAATCGTATATCATCAGACAATCTCCATGGGCGTCTATAGAGGAAGACAAAGCAAAACACTCTAAATCTAGATCTATAATCTAAAAGGGCAAGTCCATATCATTCACATCCTCCTCCTCGGCATCCTTCTTGTTACCACCCTCCAACTGCTCCCTAATAAACCGCACCGCAGCATCCAAATACGGCCTCTGACTCGGCAGGAAATGACCACCCGGATGCCAAACAACCTTACCCTCCTTCTCCGGATCTCCCGCACAAGCCTCCACCAGCGCCCTGCTCCTCGACTCCTCCACAACCGCATCCAACGACCCCAAGACATGCAAAATCGGCGTCTGCAGCGCCGGACTCTCATAGAACCCACGATACCGGGCGCCAGGCGAGCGGAACCCACTATAACACAGCGCAAACTTGAAAGGCGGGTGACTCAAGCCCTCAAACGCCTTCGGAAACGGCACCCCCGAGACAACTGCATCAGCCTCGGCCTTCCCCTCCGACGCAACACTGGCATCCAAAAACCTCTCGAACGCCTCCTTCCGGCCCGGCTCGAGCAACGAAACCACCATGGCGGCCATGGCGGCACCCTGCGAGAACCCGATCACGCCGTCGAAGGGGCCCTCCTCGGACATGACTTTTGCGACGGCCGCGAGCCCCTCCTCGAGCCCCAGGTATTCGGGCGGCGACGCGGTGTTGGAGCGCCGGAACCAGCCGTAGGCTTCGAGGGGCTCGGCGGGGGCTTCTTGGGTGGGCTCGTAGCCGGGGATGTCGGCGGGGTTGAGGCGCAGGGGGCCGGTCGGGTAGGTGGCTGTGACGTCGTGCAGGGGAAGGCTTCGTGAGGTGCTTGATTAGGGCGCGGCTTTTGGCGTGGAAGAGCGGGCCGGATT